TAAAATTAAAATTATGGGGAAAAAAATTATTATTGAACAGAAATGGGTTTAAATTCAAATCATGAAAAAAAATTTCCTATTGAACAGAAAATGGGCTTAAATTCAAATTATGGGAAAAATAATTTCTTACTGAACAGAAAATGGGTTCAAACTTAAATTACAGGGGAAAAAAAATAGCTTGTTATTAACAGAAAATGGGCTTAAATTCAAATTATGGAAAAAATAATTTCTTATTGAACAGAAAATGGGTTCAAATTCCAGGGAGGTTTGAGGTGCTCATCCCTGGAGCTCCTGGAGGTGACACTGAGAGCTCTGGGATTTGGACAAGGCAGGGATTGGGCACAGCTTGGATTCCATGACCTTGGAGGGTTTTTCCAGCCCCAATAACCCTGGAATTATCCCAGGAAKCCCCGGCTACCTCGGCATCGTACTCCCAGAGCTGGTTGCCCCGCAGGTGGTGGCACTTGAGCATCAGGATGGGCCCGTTGAGCCGCGCCACGTCCAGACACAGGTCATCGGTGCGGATCTCCTTGTCTGCCGTGTAGGAGAACACCTGGAACGGGAATGGGAATGATACAGGACTATGAGGATCTGCTGGAGAACACCTGGAACACAAACGGGAATGGGAATGATACAGAGCTGTGAGGATATCCCTGAACACCTGGAATGGGAATGGGAATGTCATGGGGCTGGTGAGCGACAAACCCATCCCTGGAGAACATCTGGAATGGGAATGGGAATGATACAGGGCTGTGAGGATCTGCTGGAGAACACCTGGAATGGGAATGTCACAGAGCTGTGAGGATATCCATGAACACCTGGAATGGGAACAGGAGTGTCATGGGGCTGTGAGGATATCCCTGGAGAACACCGGGAATGGGAATGGGAATGTCATGGGGCTGTGAGGATATCCCTGAACACCTGGAATGGGAATGGGAATGATACAGGGCTGTGAGGATATCCATGGAGAACACCTGGAATGGGAATGGGAATGTCATGGGGCTGTGAGGATATCTCTGAACACCTGGAATGGAAATGGGAATGTCATGGGGCTGGTGAGCTCCAAACCCATCCATGGAGAACACCAGGAATGGGAACAGGAGTGTCATGGGGCTGTGAGGATATCCCTGAGAACACCGGGAATGGGAATGGGAATGTCATGGGGCTGTGAGGATATCCATGGAGAACACCTGGAATGGAAACGGGAATGTCATGGGGCTGTGAGAATATCCATGAGAACATCTGGAATGGGAATGGGAATGGGAATGTCATGGGGCTGGTGAGCGACAAACCCATCCCTGGAGAGCACCTGGAATGGGAATGGGAATGTCATGGGGCTGTGAGGATATCCCTGAACACCTGGAATGGGAATGGGAATGTTACAGGACTGCTGAACTTTGAGGATATCCCTGGAGAATACCTGGAATGGGAATGGGAATGATACAGGGATTTGAGAATATCCATGAGAACATCTGGAATGGGAATGGGAATGTCATGGGGCTGGTGAGCTCCAAACCCATCCCGGGAGAGCACCTGGAACGGGAACAGGAATGTCATGGGGCTGTGAGGATATTCCTGAACACCTGGAATGGGAATGATACAGGGCTGTGAGGATATTCCTGAACACCTGGAATGGGAATGGGAATGTCACTGGGGCTGTGAGCTCCAAACCCATCCCTGGAGAACACCTGGAATGGGAATGGGAATGTCACATTCCCAATGTCACATTCTCAATGTCACAGGGATGTGAGGATATCCCTGGAGAACACCTGGAACGGGAACGGGAATGGGAATGTCATGGGGATGTGAGAATATCCCTGAGAACACCTGGAATGGGAACAGGAATGATACAGGGCTGTGAGGATATCCACGGAGAATACCTGGAATGGGAATGGGAATGTCATGGGGCTGTGAGGATCTGCTGGAGAACACCTGGAATGGGAATGGGAATGATACAGGGCCGTGAGGATATCCATGAGAACACTTGGAATGGGAACGGGAATGTCAAGGGGCTGTGAGGATATCCATGAAGAACACCTGGAACGGGAACGGGAATGTCATGGGGCTGCTGGGCTCCAAACCCATCCCTGGAGAGCACCTGGAATGGGAATGGGAATGTCATGGGGCTGTGAGGATATCCCTGAACACCTGGAATGGAAATGGGAATGTCACAGGGCTGTGAGGATATCCATGAAGAATACCTGGAATGGGGATGGGAATGTCACAGGGCTGTGAGGATATCCATGAAGAATACCTGGAATGGGGATGGGAATGGGAATGTGATGGGGCGGGTGAGCGACAAACTCATCCCTGGAGAACACCTGGCATGGGAATGGGAATGATACAGAGCTGTGAGGATATCCCTGAGAACACCTGGAACGGGAATGGGAATGATACAGGGCTGTGAGGATATCCCTGAGAACACCTGGAATGGGAATGTCATGGGGCTGTGAGGATCTGCTGGAGAACACCTGGAACGGGAATGATACAGGGATGTGAGGATATCCCTGAGAACACCTGGAATGGGAATGGGAATGTCATGGAGCTGTGAGGATCTGCTGGAGAACACCTGGAATGGGAATGGGAATGATACAGGGCCGTGAGGATATCCATGAGAACACTTGGAATGGGAATGGGAATGTCACGGGGCTGCTGGGCTCCAAACCCATCCCTGAAGAGCACCTGGAATGGGAATGGGAATGATACAGAGCTGTGAGGATATCCCTGAACACCTGTAATGGAAATGGGAATGTCACTGGGCTGTGAGGATATCCCTGGAGAACACCTGGAACACAAACGGGAATGTTATGGGGCTGCTGGGCTCCAAACCCATCCCTGGAGAACACCTGGAACAGGAATGGGAATGATACAGGGATGTGAGGATATCCTTGAACACCTGGAATGGGAATGGGAATGTCACGGGGCTGTGAGGATATCCCTGAGAACACCTGGAATGGGAATGGGAATGGAATGGGGCTGGTGAGCTCCAAACCCATCCCTGAGAACACCTGGAATGGGAACGGAAATGTTACAGGACTGCTGAACTTTGAGGATATCCCTGAAGAACACCTGGAATGGGAATGGGAATGGGAATGTCATGGGGCTGTGAGGATATCCCTGGAGAACACCTGGAACACAAACGGGAATGTTATGGGGCTGCTGGGCTCCAAACCCATCCCTGGAGAACACCTGGAATGGGAACGGGAATGATACAGGGCTGTGAGGATATCCATGGAGAACCCCTGGAATGGGAACAGGAATGTCATGGGGCTGTGAGAATATCCCTGGAATGCTCAATATAATAATAAATTACAACAGGATTATATTCCACAGATTCACTGGATACCTCCAATGGATATGCACCAATATTTCCCCAAAACCTGGAGCTGAAATTGAAAAAACAGCTGAGCACTCCTCAAATCTTCAGCTTAAAAATATCAAATATTTCAGAACTTTCATGGATTATTTTCTATTATTTTCACACAAAATCCAAGCTGGAATCGAAACAGATAATTTAAATATTCTGAATGAATTCTTGTACGAATTCCCAGCTTTTCCTGGTTTATATTTACCTGGTTCCCTCCCATGCCGTGGCAGTTGAAAAATCCCACTTTTTCGTTCTCCTTGCGGCCCATGTTGTCCAAGCACTGGTTGGTTTCAACATTCCTGATCTGGAGGAAGGAAAAAAGTGAAATATTCCTTAAAAAAACCCCACATCTGTGCAGAAAATTGCAATTTGTGAACGGATCCCAAAAAACCACGGGATGGTTTGAAATGGAAGTGACCTCAAAGTTCATCCACGGCCACTTTTTGCTAACCCAGTTCAATTCCGTGCTAAGTCAGGAGGAAATTCAGGATGATYATCCCAAATCTGCCCCAAATCCCRGCTCTTTTCCTCYGTTTATCCTGGAAAAGAACAAAATCCTCCCTTGGAAAGCGGATTTTGAGTCCTTGTGCTGATCCAGCCCTTTCCCAACACTTTTCCTTGGATTTGAGCCTGCCCAAGCCCATCCCGGATTATTTGTGCCCTGATGATGCTGCTCCATGTGGGACAGATCAAATCCTGCCCAAATCTCTGCTGGAAGCCAGGAAAACATCCCAAAAATGCTCTTCCAACACCTTCAAAATCCCCCATTCCTCTCTGCTGGCTTTAAGGCTAAAATTCCCTTTTCCTGCTCCTGGAACAGCCASGCAGGGATTTCATTCCCAGCTCCCTCCTGAGCTGCTGTTTCCATGGAAACCGAGGCCAAAATCAGGTGTTTCAATCCCTATTTTCTGCTTTTCCCATCCCATTTTCCAGCCTGACAAGGCGGCACAATCYCCCTTTATTTGACATTCCTCAGACRAGTCCTTCCCTCGCTGGAAARCCGCATTTTCCTTTATTTTGGCAGGATTAAACTGGGAATCCTCCAGAGCCTTTTATTCCTGCCTACAATGGGAAATTTCAATGGAAATCCCTTCCCTAAATGTCAAAAAAAACCCCACTTTTTCCTTTCAGGGTTATTCCAGCCCCAAATCCTCTGAGGGTTATCCCAGCATCATCCAATCAATCCATTCCAGAGCTTTCAAAAGGCAGCATGGGAACAAAACAATATTTTTAATAGTTTAATATTTAATTTTAAATATTTTTAGCTGTGAAATTGTTGAATTTGAAAGAAATTCCAGCTCCTGGTKGTCCCAGAATTTTGGGGTTACCAGGAATATCTGTGATCTCAGCTCCAGGCTGGAAAACACTCAGAAAAAAATTATTTATTTTTAAAAATTCCCCCTAAAAAGCAATTTTTAGTCTCTTTCCAAGCAATAAATGATGAAGGAAGGTTCTCCTCGATGGCTGCATGATCATTATGTCAAAACAGGAATCCCAAACCTCATTTTTCCAATCTCCTTTTCCATTTGGGAGAAYAACTGGGCTGGTGAACATTTGGAATTGGAATTGGATAACAGGGGAGGKTTTTAAGGAGAGGGAACACACTCAGAACAGCAACTCCCTCTCGAAAAGGAGTTACAGAAATACAGAAAATAAAGAGAAATGAAGAATCA